AAATAAAAAATAAAATAAACCATCGCCGCTCATGTAAAATGTTGTTGAACGTTGTCCCATCCATTTACCATCATTCACACATCGTCATGGGGTCATTTATGTGGTGTATATATCGTGTGACTCGGTTTTTTTTGGGGTAGATTATGTGCATATCCGGCTTTCCAGATTCAACTCAAACATTTGTAACTAGCTTAAATGTTTCACCAACATCTTAACCTTTTTCTGAGCGCAACATGTGAGAGTTTTCGAGAAAGCATTGCATTATTTTTTATTATTATTATTATTATTGTTATTTATTTATCTGCCTTATCGTGAAATCCGTCTAATCCTATGGGTTCATCAATGATTCATTTTCCTGAGGATAAATAATCATGTGTAGTTAAGAATTAAGCCCAGGCGAAACTTTAATTATGAGATATTAAAAAACGCGCACAAGGTGGTTCCAATGGTTGCTCGAGGAAAAGGGAGACGACAAAGACCTAATAAATTAAGAAATGTGCTGAAACTTGTCACGTGACACACCGACTTTGAAAAAAAAAAAAAGAAAAATATTTTCCTCTGTACCCATTGATAATGAATTCGCGAGACAATTACTATCAAGACCCCATGCATATCGCATCCTCCTTTGTTTCTTTGAAATCTATGCAAGCGGCAAGATTGTGCATTCGAAAATTCGAAATTATCATTCATGTCAAATGTACCCATCCGCTCAGTACAAAGAATGTTAGGTTTATCCTATCGCTATCACTGAAATCGCTGCCCCCCTTATCATTTAACATCTGAATTGAGGATTGTCATAAAAGTCATATGCGCAATCTATAACTGGGAATTATTACATATGATGCTAGGATAAAGGAAGATCCAATTCCCGTGTGCACAAACCTTCCGTTCTACTACTGTCTTGGAGGAGATAGGAATTTTTTTTTGGTGCAGCCGTGTCTCATCGACGAATGGACACCTGACCCAACATTATCCCAAAAAAAATGCAACCCATGTGGTGCGAAAGACCAAGGTGATATGAGGAATCGTTGAATAAATGAAAATATCACACGGCATGTCGATTATGCCGGGGCATTTGCCATATTTATGAATTAAAAAGAAAGGCACACGTACGCTCGTATGTATCATATGAACGTCTAGCCCTATAATTCAACAAACGATACCTGCCCGCCACCTGAAAGTCCAAGCCTCTCATCGTATCTGAGAGGTCAATGGAGGACACATATGATGCGATAAATTCCAAACAATAGTAATCGCGCATTGTATCGTTTGGATAAGCCATGGAGGTGAGAGAGAGAGAAAAAGGAAATTTCGTCTACCCCGTCATACCCGAGTCGTTGGGGGGCGATCGAGGGACAAGGTCATTCCGCATGAAAAAAGTTGGTCATGGGTTTTTGATAGATGAATGATGGTAAATGGATGGGACAACGTTCAACAACATTTTACATGAGCGGCGATGGTTTATTTTATTTTTTATTT